CAGAGTTACGCGTAAGGGTATGTGTGTGTGGATATTGCCCGGAGGCATGGTGACCCAGGGTTTGGTGGCACAAGGCCATGTCGCCTCTGGAGACACGGGACGGTGGTTTCCAGAGTCACGCGTAAGGGTATGTGTGTGTGGATATTGCCCAGAGGCATGGTGACCCAGGGTTTGGTGGCACAAGGCCATGTCGCCTCTGGAGGCACGGGACAGTGCTTTCCAGAGTCACGCGTAAGGGTTCGTTTTGGGAATCACTGGTGTTGTACAAATAAGAAGAGGCATTGTTGTTTATAGTTTAATGGCACTCTCTTATGATGTAAGAGGCACTGTTGTCGAAATAGTTCTCTTTTCAACATGAACACGCAATTTCTAACTACATTACATATAAATGTGAGTTATTGACAAACTGTTTTCTCACGTCTAGATAGAATTAGCCTCTCGGGCTAAATCAAAAGTTTTAGTCTTCATTTTTGCTTAAGATCTTGCTAATCTCATCACCCATTTCACTAGCTTTGACTTGATTCATCTCGCTATTTAAGAGAATGTACATTGCCTCTGCCCTCCAGTCTTTGACCTCATCCTGTGAAATTTTGCCGAGAAGAGAAGTATATTATTAGAGTTTGTGCATATAAGTTGTTTATAAGTAAATATATATAAACTTACTGTCAAATCTTCCAGGTCTTCGACAAACTTTTCACCATTGTAGAGGAATGCAAGCTTTAAAACAGCAAATGTTGATTCTCCCTTTTCTACCACTGGAACATCTTGCACGGTATGACTCTGCCATCTTGTACCCTTGGCATTCAGTGTTTGTCCTAGTATGATGTTGAAGACTTCTTTAAACCTAGGTACCTGGGAATATTGTATTTTGTAATTAATTGTTTTAATATTGCAACTTGTAAAACTGAAAAAATTGTTATGTATAAATGCTTACGATTGCCAACTAATGAACATGATATTCCTCAAACTGTCTTTCTCTTTCTTCTTTAGCATCTTCATTTTCCTGAAGAACTCGACATGCTTCTTCTTGTGTCAATTCTCCGATGTCTATCTTTTCTTTCTCAAATTCCTTGTGAGTCGTTTCTCGAGGATCAATAATGTGAACTTTGTGTTTGTATTTGTCCAGGACATATAGTACATAGCGGTCATGCTTCTCCATTGGAATGAATATCTGCGTACAAAATACTTGTTGCTTAGATGACAGTTTAATATAAAGTAATTTAATAGAACACATATTTTCTGATTTTGTCATGGAAGAAAGGGTTGTTACCATGTTTGCTGTTGAGAGCTTTTTTCGTTGATTTTCCTTGAGATACATGGGAACCAGCTGATTCTTTGCTTTTTGCAATTCATTTTTAAAATTTTTAATACTAGTTTTGTGTTCCTTTAAATGCAATATATGCTGCAAACAATATTTATGATGAAAAAAATTGTTAGAAAAAAGAGCTGTGTAACAATATAAAAAGAGTAGTTGTTGCAATATAACACAAGACTTTGCTTTTTAGAAGTTTACCTCTGCAAAGTTTGGGCCTAATATTACTTTGTCACTCTGTTTGAATCTTGTCTGCTTTCCCAAATTTTTGATATGTCATCGAGGACCCTCTTTTCCATATGATGTGGTATGTTTGTCTGTGCTGGTCTTGGACCAAATACTGCCTTCAGTTGGGCTCCAGTAAGTTGCGTGCTTTCACTGTCCCTGCGGATGCGCCTAAATATAGTTTTGCTGTGATAGGGAGATAAAATAATTTTGGAGGTCACGGTTAGTGAGAAACAGATTCTTACATTATTTTTGGCCTCTGTCCAACTATTTTGAGGTGCAATAGAAAACAACTCACTTCTTGTATTCCTCCTGCCAGCTATCGCTCATGACTAGATGGAAGAGGTCGGACGCCTCCTTTGTGTGTTGGAA